TTGCCAACCTATAGGTTCAATTTACTTTATTATTAAAAATAACTAAGTAAAATGGTTTCTTCTGAACGTAAGAGTAGAAATGTTATTTGTACCTAAGTGAGATGGAGACAATACGTCATGCGGGTTTGAAGTTCTCATAAGGTAATTTTACGCTATATTTTTTGATTATAACTAATTCATAACGATTTACTAAACAAAAATATATCCTCTGGATCACTAAATTATATAATATTTATAATGAAGTAACTTTCTTTTTAAAATTATTTTTGTTTTTAATCTTATTTGATTTGGCCATTGTTTGAGTTAATTATTACATTGTTTTTATTTTTTACGTTAGTGTAGGTTAATGTTAAAATCAATTTTCATATAGTAGTAAAAAGTATTTGTATACATTTTTTATCATTATTATGTTTTGTTTAGTTCCTATGTATTTTGTAACTGAAATTATGGCTTATAACTTTGAGGAATGACAAGTCATCAAAATATACGTTTAACTTTATTTTACGGAATATAAAAAGGAAATAAAAAATACTATTATATACTATGTTGAAGGATTCATTTATATATTTTTTTGATATGTATATACGTATTATACAACAATGAACATGTGATAGTTAAACATAATATATTATTGAACCGACGAAGAAAAGAACTTGTGTCAAAATATTTTCAAAATTGTATGGTGTATAGAAAATGCTAATATAAACATTCAGTCAACATTTTATGTACCTAAGGCCATTTGTTTAAGAGTTGCACCAAAAACCAAAATTAATTTTCTCGAAAACAGATTTTGCGTAAAAATACCTGTTTTTCCTTAATTTTTCTTTTGTTTTTCACGGCGCTTGTGAAAACTACTTGGAAATTTTAATTTTTGACCCCCCAAAGTACCAACTAAATTCACTTTTCTATCAGAAAATATACTGTTGAAGAAAATCCAAGCACTTTTACTGTCCTAAAACGTGATGACAGACACAAAAAAAAATTAAAAAAAAATTAAAAAATTAAAAAATTAAAAAAAAAAACACACATCATTGTAAAATCAATACATTCATCGTTTCACTCAGAATCTAAAACAAAATTTGGAAATTTCAATATTTAATAAACATATACGTTGATCTTATCAGTAGATATACATACATTAAACCTTGATAGCACTGCATGTTTTCTTTTTATCAAAATGATAAAAGAATAAATAAATTATAAATGTTCAAATCATTTTTTTCTGAGTACCTTAATATTAAAACTAAAAACAAATACAAATTTTTTCTCACAATTTACGAAATATTCAAAAACATGCTAAACGGGTTAAATATTCTCTAACCCATGAAATATTCTCAAACATGCAAAAAAACTTTTTTCTACGCATTCAGAATTGAACGAATCGTCTCTCATTTTTTATTCTCATAAGACTGCATAGACCCAGTTACGATATGTAAATACATAAAAATTCGGTCTTTAGTTATAACTTTATAAGTATTAAATTCTAATGTACATCCATATACTTGCATTTAAATATTGCAGATAATGTAGGTTAAAAACGTATGTTGTTGAAGCCTTTACTAATTAATAAAAAAATATATAAATATAATATTATATAATATTACCAAGGACTTTGGACTAAATTACAATACTCAAAAACTAAATTTATATCTGAGTGGTATAAAAACTGATAGCTGGGTATCCGACGAAGACAGTGACGTAGTACTGTGACATGAACAGCAAGGCAGGGCTTTACGGAGATGCACGACGACGGCAACGTTGGACAACGGCGCACTGATACGACCGTGAGAAGTTTTTTTTTTTAATTGAATTGAGAGATTTTTTTTATTATTTGAATAACACAATATAATTACAAAGTATTAAAAGAAATAATAAAAATTTCCTACACCTAAGTTAAGCTAAGCTTGTGGTGGTGTAGGGAGTAACAGTAGGTACAGACTACTTAATATTATAACAAATAATAACAAATACTGTATAATGAAAAGAGAGAGAAAAAAAAACTATGTGTATATAATTTATTTGTAATAAACACTGACTTAAACATTACAGGACCCAGCTGATAATTAATAAACTTTAGACCAAAACTTGTATGTTAATAAATAACACTTTAATATTACATAATCTATCCTAAAGCAGTGACGGCGTATATCAGCTATGATTATACATAATGATATAATTGTTACATCAAACGAACAAACGATGGCTGACCGGAGACAGACGCCGAATTCCTAACGAACGTCTGATATAGGACAACACTATAATCGTTACATACTGAATAATATTGTGTACATAAAAAAATTGTCCTAGCACAGTCACAGTCACACCTTCAATACTAACACAAGGGCGAAGTCTCGCGATTATTCGGCTTTGTTATGTAAACGCGAGAGTAGGCCGATAAAAGTTACGTAACTGCGCTTCCGAGCATCACTCGTAGATGTAGCGTGATGCACGACTATTTGATAAGGCCGGAAGCTCATAAGGCTCATAGGGCGTTGCACTGCACAGGTAGGTACTATGTTTGTGCGGCGGCAACAAACTGCAGTAACTCTTATGGCCGTATGCATAGTCAATTTGTGTGTCACGCATACAAGACATATATTTTGACATGCGTCCGACACATACGTTCGACTGTGCACAAGGACATGAGTTTGACATGTTTTTAAATCGGGACGGGATATAGCAGTCTGTATACGGCACATTTAAACCGTATTGATAATTGTATAAAATTTAGGCTGTGCAGAAAAAACGCGGTGGAAAGAGTGACGCACAAAACGATACTGTAAACGCCGTGCACCATATTATAGCTCCCCATCTCTAGGACGATAAAATATGTGACCTGGCCACATCGAATGTTCTTATACCTGTTTATGTAACCATGGTATATAAAATATATAGGTTTATATATATACTCAGTGTTGTATACTGTCCACTGCTGCAGTTACGTGTCGTATTCACTGATCTCCATATACTCTCATGAAGCGAGCTCTGGCCGGTGCAGTGTTCGATATATTACTTTAACAACAATAGTTCGTGACCATTAAATTCCTTAAGATATTAGATGCTTTCTTCGTTTCATGATGGGAATTCTATTAGTTAATCTGCCACTAGGCGCCACGACTGGCGGCCGGCTGAGCTCATTTTAAGTGTCCATGAATCGCGACAACTGCTTAAAAAAACTACATAATATTTTACTTAAATGTCCGTGTATAATTAATATTCTTTGAAAAAAAGTAATTCGTTCTAGATAAGTACTAGCTGACTGACGTAATATTGAAAAACGTATATCGCGTTACCCGCGGTCGTCTCGGAGCTATGTAGAACACCGACGATTTAATATATCATATTATATTAATATAGTGTTTATAACCGACTATGGTCGTCAAGACGAGTATTAAGCCCCTGAGACCCACAAGCTCCTGATAATATTAGCGCGTTCAAAAAAACAAACTCTTCAGCTTTATAATATTAGTATAGATTATAATTAATAATAATAAATAATGTTTATATTATAAACGATAATAAGAACTCAGAATGGCACAAATAAATAATAAAACGATATCATTGACGGAAAAGACTGATTTATTTTGCAATGTCAATACACATTATTATATAATTAAAAACAAATTATACAATTATGTAATGTTTGGGCTATGGCATTTTTAAGTTTGAGGTTGATGTGGACTTGAATTAACAGTTCTGAAACAAAACAAAAAATAGTCAATTAATATAATATACTAAAGTATAAAAGTATAAAATCTTGGTAGAACTAAATAATAAATTCTAAAAAGGTTACCAAAATTCGTTATACTCTTTAAAGTGTTGGAAAAAATATATTTAAATATATTTTGGACAACAACCAGACAACTCCTAGTAGTCCTTAACTTCCAATAATTATTGAGCCTAATGGAACTTGCATAAAGGTTATTGTCATATTTCATATGATACAACAAGTAATTTATAAATAAATAGTATAAACAAAATTATTCTATAAAATTAATTTGTTCATTAAAACAGTTTATATGCTCTCCTGAAAAATTAATGAAAATGGAGTTGACTGGTTGTTGCATTGGACCCTTCAATTACGAAAAATTATTTATGTATTTAGTAATTATACTAATATAAAGTGGTGACGTCAACATTTAAGTATCATTAAAACTTTATAATACCTATACCTACTTCATTTTATAACGAAAAATGAAAATAAAAAATGTATATTTTAATTCTAAAAAAAATGTACTATTAATTAAACCAAAAATGTAATAATTTGATTTTAATTTATTATAATTAAGATAATATATTAATTATCAAATAACAACCTGAACTGCGACAAATAATTCTTTTGCATTTTTAAAAGTATTTACAAAAAATTATTTGATTTTCAAATACCTTTAGTTATACCAATACTGTATTAAAATACTTATTAATACTTAATTAAAGTTTTAAGTAATACTATAAAAGTATTTAATTACATTTACTAAAATACATTACAACACCAACAGCTTATTGTGACTATATTGTGTGTTAAAATATTTAACCTTTTGTTAGTCAATTTCAGTAAGAATTAGAGAAAATAGATTTTCGAGACTTTTCTATCAAAAGATTAAATGTTTAATAAGTTATGATTACAAATTATATAAAATCAATAATAATTAAATTTGATGTAACTATAAAATATTGAACACAATTATTTAAGCACTAATTATTTAAATAAAGTTCATAATAATAAAAAAATTGTGTATATTTTAATGACGTACGTGACATAAAAATGTATATTGTACTAGGTAGGTATTGATTTAATTTATATTAAGTGTCAAAAATTAAATAAACATACTTGTCTACGCATGTACACAACAATAAAAGAAAATTGAAACACACTAACAATAACATGTGGAAAATAATCACAGAATTGTTAACTCACCATCAATGGGCTGGTGGCTGGAGTAGTAGCTTTGGCGTTCATTTTTATGGCCTTTGTAGATTGGACTTGTCCGACGACGACGATGTTCATGGTTACTTTTTCAGCGCCCATTTTTGGTTTTTGGTTGGTTTTTTTGAGGTGTAAAGTGAAAACTGCAAGTAGACAAAAAAAAAATAGAATTAAAAATAGAACAAAGAAATTTCGTTTCTCGTCAGCTATATACTCACAGAATATTATATTTGCACAAAAATTGCGTTATGCCGGAATGAAGCATCAATTCGTCCTTTTATACAGTGGCGACTTTTGCCTATAGTGTGGAGAGAGCTGTGGCGTGGTGGCGTGACCATGGCTCATAAAGGTGATTACCTTTATCAGTTAGGAAACTGCAGATATCGTACGTCGGATGACGTCAAATATTATTATTTGTTTACATAATTTTTTTACTATTTATCGTTTAAAACATATCCATCAATTAATATAATGAAATCTTCTTCCAAAATATGTCACTAAATATGTTATAGTGGAAAAATATTGAACATTGTGATTACCATTTATTCCAAATTCAAATTTTGGTTAACGTCTACAACATACACATCAAGTTGACTTAAATCATAAAAATATTTATTGAACTCTTAAGATTTAGATTAGTTTACAAAATAGTCCACCAAAAAGTATTAATTAATCAGTCCTTAGGCTTGAAATAAATTATTTAAAAATCTGATTTGATTACCGATAAAAATTATTAAAAATTAAGTGTCGTAATTTTTTTTTAAATGGTTTTCAAATGTCGAATTGAAATGTAAAACAATTTAAACCGATAATCTATACCAAAATAATTATCGTTTACAATATTTTGTATATCCAAATCAATTATACAATTTAAAAAATATATGATTTAAATTTTTAATTCAACAAAAGTCCATAGGTCTATAAACTATAATATTGTTCATATTTTTGTAGCAGTGTAGGTGATACGAAAAACCCGACTAATATTTCATTTTTTTTATTCCCGTTTCATAGATGTGCGTATCGACAATTATGGACGACATGTTTCAAGTAGTTAGAAATCAAAATTTAAATCGTTAAAATGTAAAATGTATGTTTTAAATCGAAAAATGTACATTTAAAATCTGATAAAAAAATCTCTATACAATTTAATCGACAACATGCAATAGTAAATAAATAATTAAATTATAATATTAATGTTTTTTTTTTTTGAATTGAAATCAAACAAAAAAAAAACAAAGAAGTATTTATAAGTGAATTGTAATTAAAATTGAACATTTTTATTTTGATTTCAATAACTGAATAAACCACAATACAATAAATATGAATACATAATATGTTAATTATTATACCAGGTTGGTATGAAAACAAACTATTTTTACCATCATTATATTTTCCATGTCATATGACCACTGAGTGAATTATTCTTTAATCCATATTATTACAAAATGTTCTTTTTGTAATTTTTATTCAGAGTTATTTACTAACCATCACGTTCTATGATTTCTGAATTTTAAGAATAGGTAAATATATTTAGATATTATATTTTCAAAAACTTAAATATTTATACAATTATTTCAGTCGTAAACTGTGCTCATATAAGCTCCTTTTACTTAAACGACATCACAACACTAAAAACAAGTTTGCTTAGATCTAAATTAATTTTTTTAAGCTTTTTAAAACATTAAAATATCATTAAATTAGAAAAAATAACTAATTAGTTATTATTGTCTTATCATACATTTTTATAATTTAAACACAATATCTTAGTAATTTTAATTTATAGTAGTAATAATTAGTTGACTTGAGAACACACTCACTGGCGTGTAGGTACAGTGTTATCGTCTTGACAAACGACGCGGCATCGCGACACGATAAAAATAAGATCGGTGCACACATTATAGTGTTCTCCAAACCACCATATCTATATTTCTAACCGACTTTTCGAGGCATGTAGCTAATATTTACTATTTACACATTTGTACAAATTATTATTATAATTATTATTATTTAATCGTTTATAGACACACTTATCAACATGAAAAGCTGCAAAAACTTTTTTTTTTTTTATTACAGACCATGTGCATTATAATAATAAATTATATGTTACCATAGGAATCTAATTTTTTTTTATAATTTTTTTTTAATTTTTTGGTGGTTCACGTGCTCCTGTGCATCATACCACAAGCCGTCACTGTACCTATATGTCATTATCTAAGAAATATGGCGTGCGTCTCAAACTTAATATACCGACTACGGATATAATAAGCTCCTGCAATATAAACGAACTATGAGGTGACATAATGAAAAACGTAAGCTTCCGTTTGTTCTGACTTTTCATGTTTCGAATAGGGTGGCTCAACGATATTGTTATAATTATTTATAATTAGTCTGATAGGCAAAATAAGCATTGCCCTGACATCGTATAAATGTATTATAATATAACAAATCACGCATATACTAATAATATGTGTATTGAGTCAATCAAGTCATAATCCGGTACTACCCGTTTATTAAAATAATATTATATTATATAGGTATAATGAGGATTGAACCCTTACGGCCTTACCAACTCCCCATCACACACACAACTTACAACTGTAAACGGACATATTGGCATTCACGATTTTTTGACATCCATAATATCGAAGGCCTCGTTTTTAAAGCACTAATGTACGGAACGTGGCTCAATCTACAGCTGCATCATCTGACGATGTTGTCATGATGATTGCCGGACAAATACTGATGATAATAGGTACCTACTATATAGTCCATAATATTATCATGTTGGCGAATTTGTGCAATTGAGTAGACAACAGTTGTTTCAATGTTTATACTCTTATAAATTATTATAATCCATAACAAATCATAACAATGGAATCTTTGCATCGCTGCAATGTAAAAATATAATTCAACAAATAATTCGCAAACCAATATGACAATATTATTAACCAGTACCTACCACAGCCCTTACAGCGTGCATTAATAATAAAACGGCCCTTGTGGGCTATGGCCCAACAGTTCTTCATAATAATATAGATAATAAACAGATTATAAAATCGATAACTTATGTATTTAGATTTTAGATATTAGGTATATGTACTCTGTACTCACAAACAATTAATGTATTCGGTGCAAAGTCTTCGGGCCTGAATAAATTATTCACAAAAGGCAGTCGGGAAAATAAATATACAGGTAAATATGCAATGCACGCACTTGTGAATGATATAAATTATAATCAATGAGAATTATTTGACTGTTTGAGTCTTGTCACTAATGGTGTAATAATAATCGTTGACTAGATTGCTTCGTAGCCCGTAGGAGTAGATGACCTGTTCTATATACTGCGTATCTGGTGGGTAGGTACCTACATAATATTATTTCAAAAGCGTATCACACTCGACAAGACGTGACTGAATATGTTAGGTACCTAATAAGTGATATTCTCAAGTATTTTATGAATTTGGTGCATTTAATTCCAGTGAAGTATTTATCCATAGTTATATTTTCTGATGTAAGGTATATTTGTGTCATTTTATAATTGATTTTATTGCCTACATTCCCGTATAATATTTTCCTGTGTACCTAATAATTTCCAGATTATTACCCAAGTACGTAATATTTTCCCGATTTATTCATTCCTACGTAATAATTGTTCGTTTGTAATTTTAATTACGTAAATTGAAACTCATTAATCATTACCTAGTCACTTTATTAATATTTCTCAATAGTTATAAGTTATAATTTATATAGAAATGAGTACCTATATAAAATACCTATAATTATTTATAACAATAAACGATAAAACAGTCGACCACAATTTAATTTTGAAGATAATCTCAAAATAGAATTACAAAATATGTACCTATACTTGTAGTTATATATTATAATTAAAATTAAGAATTTTTATTTTATTTGGAACTTGTAATAAATATAAATGATGAACACAACACAGTGTTTTGGTTCACATAAATATTATTATCTTTTATTGAAAACACAGTTGTAGATATTGCATATTATATAAGATGACAGTATTTTCTTTTGTAGAATTTTATGTCACCGAACGTGATTTGACAATTGAAAAAACATATATCATAAAAAAAAGGTAGATTTTAAAGTTCAATTATTTTGCTCGACTCGCGGTTTCCCTTGTTTATACTTGGCTGATGAATTATAATTGAATTGACTGGTAGTTGGATTGAATGGTAGTTGAATTGAATCTCCCGGACGGTGCCGACTATGGCAATGCGTTCACGATACTGGAGACTGGAGAGTAAATACATCGGAAGGCGGCTACAGTGATTGTACGATGGTCGCGATGTTTTCTGCGGGCGGCGGCTACGGTGACAACTGGTCGGCGGCGTGTGTGTGTGCGGGGCAATTACGACGGGTTGGTATCGACCACGGACTAAGATAGAATGGACTGGTAACGGTAGGGACTGAGAGGTGGTGGGATCTGATCCCCAAATGTTTCTGCCCCGCTACACTACACATCCATCACAAGTACACTATGTTCAACGCTATCTAGTGATAATAATATACGATAGAAAAGTAAATAGTGGTTCTCGCCAATGCATTTTTATAAAATGTTTAAATAGGTAATAAATATTGGTATTTTAGTTAAAACCACTAATTGTTTTGTTACGTTTGAAAGGAAACATACCTCGTAAATGTTCCATTATTACTTGTAAAAGTAATAAAAATAATCAAAAGGTTACTTTATCTAAAGTTCCTTTAATTCCCCAAAGTTTTTTGTGGTTTGTAATATTTGTATATTAGATTTTTAGAGCATTTTCAGTTTTAAGTTTTAACTTATTAGTTGTTAAGTTGTTTTAATAAAATTATTTAGTTCATAGAAATAAAATTGTTACGATTATTTCTCCATAGATAGCGCTGAATGTAGTGTAGTCTGGTACCTTGTCTAGAGAAACATTTGTGTCACACTGATAAAACTTCGATATCAGTCCATTCTATCTTAGTCCGTGGTATCGACATAACGACATAACGACAGATGTCCTGACGACAAGGCAAGTTATTATTATATCATCCGAGCTTAACACAAATATTGCTTGATGGTTAAAAAAAATATATCCCTAATATTATGTAATATTATTTTAACAAAATTATGCATTTTTTAACATTTTTTTTTTGTTAACGGTAAATCCTGAAGTTGTTTCCATTGCAAGAAATTATATAAAAACCTCTGAATTACCCAAACGACTGACTAGAGTCATAATCGGGTTAGGTTGACTCTAGGTAGGTAGCAATTTTATCGGAATAGTGGAATTTAAATGTTAAATACTTAATTAAAAATAAAACACGTTGATATAATAATAATATGTTATACTAGTCGGGTTGAGTTGGAATTATAATAAAAAACGAAAAAATTATCTTCGTAATTTAATATATTATATTTTATTTTATCGATG